TAATTGTATTCAATATATTCAGCGTTATTTTCATGTCATGAGGAATCACCCAAATTAACAATTTTTGCAGAAAAACGAGTTCATGACCGAAATGAATTATAAATTAATTCAAAATCTTTATATTTATTTATATAGAAGATTTATTTGTAAGATCTATGCCAGTTTACAGAAGTCCATAAAAGAGCTATAACGGGTCTATCAGGACCTACTAAGATTTAACAGTCCTTCATTGCTGTCTGTATACTTCCGCTCACATTCTTCATAACAGAGATGCCCTGTTTGAGTGTTCACACCTTCACCTCACCCTCAACATAGTTAGTATTGTTCAGTCCCTTCGGATTTCAGTTCAAAACTCGGTCAATTATTATTATTCATGGAAAAAATTATCATTGAATCTGATTCGTTAAAATCACGTTTCCAGTATTGCCTACATGAAACATGAGATTGTTCGGAGCACATTAAAGATAACCTGTAACAACTACTAAATAGCTAGAGTATGTCCATGGCTCGTCTGAATAAAAGCAGAGGAAAAGTTGTGTTAAATTCTAATTAACTTGAACAGACAAACATACATACATTTTTCAGTGTAAGACTCTATCTTTCAGACAATGGAGCAAATGGTGTTCTATTGAAATATAAGTTTTAAGAAACGTACTGTTATTTAAAAAAGATCTTTTTGTAATTCTTGAAAAGTGTAACACGAGAATATTTGTTTAAGATTAGTTAAATGACTGTAACATCATAATAAAACTATGTATTTGAAACTATTTGTTTTCCGTGTGATAGTTCTTCTCTTCCTCTACAAAATGACATAATTTGATAGATAACTTTATACAAGTTTGTTATAGATATCATTGATTTACAAAGAGGAGTCGAAACTTTTAGATCATTCTTTAGCTAGAGAACAGCACTTTACTTATGTCCTAAAGTATTATCTGTTCAATGATAAGTCGAGACAACCCCATACGTCTAATAATGTTTAAAATATAACTATAGATCACTTTATGATGTTGACATATTGATTTACTAATATCTTTAAAAGTTTTAAATGTATTTTCTACAATCTTATTTTTTCTTTTATATCTTTTAAATATGTGTTGTTTAGGATACACTAAAAGAATATCATATTGTTATTGATAATTCAAATGTGTTTCTTGGTGCTCAAACAATACGTAATGAAAAAACTGGAGTACCTCAAATGAATCCAGCTATTCGTGTAAATGTTAAGAATCTTGCAAAAGTACTTGAAGGGGATAAAGTGAGCATAAATATAAGAACACGTATTGTTGGTGGAAGTAAACCACCGGAAAAGGCACGTTGTTGGACAGAATGGAAATCTTATGATTATAAATGTATACTAGGAGATCGGTCGATGAAAAATAAAGTGAGTCGTATTGTTGACAATTATTATATTAAAATATTGGTTCTTTTTGTTCTAGGAAAGCCTCGTGGACGATATGCTACACGCTCAAATTCTTAACATCCTTTTGCAAAATTCTGATACTAGGACTAGACAACAAGTTCTTGTTCTAATTACTGGCGATGGAAATAAAAATTCTGGCCAGACGAGTTTTCCGACCACAGTCGAGAGAGTATTGCAAGCTGATTGGAGCGTGGAACTTTGGTCATGGGAGCTATCATTAAGCCAAAGGTTTTTCGAAATTCAGAAGTTGTTTCCAACTCAAATGACAATTAAATTTTTGGATCCCTATAGAACAAACATTACATTTTTACAGAAACATCTAAACAAAACTGAAGATTAAGTATTTTCAAAATGATTTCTATAAAAAAATGGCAAGAAAAATAACAGATTTACGAATTTTTGTATGATTTTTGGTGTTTTGTAGTAATCTACAATCCTTTATTGTACTCCCTCGCTTTAAAATGTTTTTTATTATCTATAATATCAATCTATATGTTATTACATCAATCTTTATCATATAAATTTCAATAAAAATTATAGACCATATATGATTTGTCCACATAAAGAATGAGTTTACAAGATAATTTCAAGTTGGAATTATCTTGAGGGTGAGTATCGTTTAGAGTATCTACTACACTACATTAAGGCTTACTTCAAAATCTCTTTAGATAGCTTTGACTATATACATGCAGAAAAGCATCTCGAGAGTGTGGGTGAGGATGTGATGTGAGTGTTGGATGGAGGAGGGTGAGTGGGCATGGATCTATGTATAAGTAAGCAAGAGACGTGCACATTCATATTCATCCACACGTACCCTTCTATTTATCAGTCTATTGACTTCAACCCTTTAGCGCCTTGATTCTTTCGACATGAAAGTTTTATTTTCTTTGAAAAAGTTTGAAATGAACTGTATTAGGATGTGAATGTAGGTGTAGATGTATATGACCCACACACTCTCACCCAATCTGGTGGGAAGCATCTGTTAAAAAGTTCGTCATGAGTTTTCTTTCTTTATATGCTGGATATGCGCATTCAAAATTATCATTTTGTGTTGCGATGATTTTAAGAATGGAGATTCGCAAAATAATGGTTGAAATATGATATTAAAATACCGACATCGAATCGATACTATTCGTTTACAGAAAGCACTGAAAAATACAATCTTGATTATGAACTTTATATTTAAAATTTCGAGATAATTACAACAAATGTTCTTCGCCTGAAAAAGTAGCTAATAATAGGTAATAAATCAGCAGTGTTCTTTCGACATATGTTAGTTTAAGTTATCGTTTTAAATGAACTCATCTGCTGAATTAATGTAAGCTATATTTTGAAAGTATATTAAATTAGAAATTCGACTAATTCTCGATGATAGCTCCTTCATCCACTGTTTGAGTTTGCTTGGACAGCATAAAAAATTTTCATGTTATCGTTGTGATCACTTTTAGCGTAACTTTCAATTTTATTTGATAACATGTCATCTAGTCTTGATGATAAATAGCAAGTAAAATCGTTAAACTATTGTATATTGAACATTCTACATCTTGAGAATCGACAGTTTTAAAGCGAATTTTGATCATATACGTTTATTGATACAATAACAGTTCGTATATGCTTATTTAGAATTTTTGAAATAGTTATATTGAAGGGACGAGGGGTGTTTTGATCACCGAAAAAGGAGTGAAATGATCACTTAATTAGTTGTATGTGAAATGATCGTCGAAAAAAGGGTGAAATGATC